TATGCTCTCGGTTAAGCAAAATATACTTTATAAACTTAAGAGTTGGATGTTCCTTGCTTATTTAATATCAGTTCTGTACATCATGGCACATTTGTCAAACTGAAGATGGAATAAACAACAATCCTAGCATTCGTGTGTTGACAGAGTTACTTTTCTGATGTCTCCCTGATACTTAATATCTAATAAAGAAGATAATTTTGCCAATGATCCATGAATAATTAATAACTGGTTGTGACTACCTCAAGAGAGATTATTCAGTGTAGACTACTTTGGTCAACACCCTAAATCAATCATCCTTGACAGGTAAGCAGCATGTAGTATAAAAGTATTTTTTTTAGTCTAAAACCTCAGTTATAGTACGCCCGGTGTTATCCTCGATTCTCAGCTACTGCTCACATGCGTAAAGATAATTGAAGACAGTAAGTACTCTCTAGAGACAATGCCCCAAAATATCCTCTTTTTTGTGTTCAGTCATTGGAAAAAGGTCTTGAGGTTTTGATGGATCTGTGCCTCACAGGGTATCTGCTCCATAGTTGATATGCTTGTGAGATGAGTCAAGCTAAATCCTAAACAAGGTTGAATGCAGCAATGAAGCGAGGATTAATGAAACAACTGCCTTTGGCAATGTTTTCCATTTGTCAACATGTTTACAGGACACTTTCTTTGTATCTCTACCCAACTACCAATTATTAATCTGGAAATGCAAGAACCTGCATCAGATTTTAAGCCTATTTATTTAGATATAAAATAATGGATTCATTGTTCGGAACAGTTTGAACAGATATCCAGAACAGACTCCAAGAAGATAAAACTACAGAAATGCATCAAATGTTTATTGTATTCCTTTGATACAGCTGTGAACAAATAGGTGATTCAAAGTTTTCCTCTAGCTATAACCACCTCAATTAGCATGCCTTACAACAAAAAAATAAAATTAAACATGAATGAATAAGTTAAGCACAATCCTGAAACAGAAAGGATTCCTGGACAGCTCCAGTGATTGCTTTAATGAAATGGCGACATTGGAACCGTTTACAGGCTTTTTAGTTTGCAGATCTTTACCTTTACAATGCCACCAAAGCATTGAATAGTTCAGGTGGGTACTGTAGCTGTCAGCATGTGGAGGCTGCAAAGGAACAAATAACAGGTTTATTACATGCTGAAAAGAGACGAAAGAAAACGCAACATTTCGGCTGTGGAGCCTTACACCCGAAGAAGGCTTCACAGCCAAAACATTTTGTTTTGTTTCTTCTCTTTTCAGCAAAGCATTAAATGTTTGACCTCTACTCTATGAGAAGGATCACAGTTCCTTCTTATTTTTAGCTATTATAAAAAATGCAGACAGAATTCTTTCCTTTCTACCTGAAGAATCTTGAACTATTTTATACACATCATATGAGACTGATTCTTGGGTTTAGACTATTGTTTTGAGATTCACAGCATTACTGATTATACCATATACAGAGTTATTTACAACTGATTTAAATCCATTCTACTGAAGCAGAAAACTGGGTATAGAGTAAAATCATTCTTGAATTATGTTTTTTGGAAATTTGTATGCGTATTAAATATTATTTCTAAACAGCTAACAAATCTGATTAGCAACTGATATAGAGATGAGTGGTAGCAAACTAATGGAGCATATAACACCTGTGTCCTCTCCATTTATCATCATGTTTCACGGCCAGAATTATTTAGTTTTTTCATCACATGCAATAAGAGTATGATTAATCATATTTCTGTAGACTTCAAAGCATATTAGTAAGACAATGAGCATTAATCAGGTAAACTATCAGAAATCTCAGTCCCGCAATAAAGCAGGATACAGTACGTGCACTGTGTTCTGGCTAAAGAGCTTCTCAGATCCAATAGAGTGCTAAGAGGGAGCAGCTTAAGAGCAACATGACAAGCAGGCTACATCAGTGCTAAAACATAGCATCAGTAACCTGGTAGTGATGTTCTTTAATGAATCATTGACTTCTTATTAACAATAGTCAGACTATTCTCATATGTAAGCGTTCATTTAAGTTTTAATAGCTTATTTTTAAAACATTTATAGAGTGTAATTTACAGGCTCTAGACTGCAGCCTAATAAGGCATATTCAATACAAAGTTAAATTTCTAAGGTTGTAAAAAAAAAGAGGTTTATTGTTATTTTACCAACATGAGATCGATCATATACTTAGTGATGCTGAACAATTGGACACACATATACAGTACATTATAAAATGCAGCACTAACATTTAAATTCAAAATCTTCAGGCGGAAGCTCATAATTCTACCAGAAAATGCTAGTGTAAAATGGCAAATGACATCATCCATTACTTTTACTATTAAAGTTTTGGTATTCAAGTGTAATAGGTAGTAATAGTAGTTTTCATCCTGACAAGTAGCAAAGAGAAAACCGAACAAAACATTCTGCTTTTTATAAGAGATAAGATCACTTTATTGGCCATATACAATTTCTTGTATTAGGAATTTGTCTTTGACACAAAGACAGGGAGAGAAGCTTTTGCTCAGAGCGCAGGGTCAACCATTTATACGGCCCCTGGACCACTTTTTCTGTCACACCACTACTGCATAATATTATAATTGCATTAAACACTAAGTAATTTACCCCCCCAAAAAAGCTCCACACTAAATTAAGTGGTTAAACAGTCTAATCATTGCAGAGATCATAATAGGTGTGAAATATTGAAAAGGGAGCAGTGACAAATTATTCAAGCCTGTGCTGTTTTTACTCACGCTTGAGATGCAGGAGTCCACTTGGAATGGCTGGCACATTTACCAGGTGAAATTACTCATGGTCACAGAGCCTGTTGTGAGGCTCCGCAAGAACACGAGAAACTGCTGGGCTGGCAGCAAGGTAGTAACTTCCTTGCAAAAAAACAATTCAGCTTCCAGCCCACATCAGTAATTACCAATTACATTTTAACTAAGAAGACACCCACAAGAAGCATTTTTTTTCCTAGGCAGATAAATAGATTTATAGCACTTAGGTGAAAAAATATTTATGCACCAATAGTGTTGTCTAAATACTATGTGTTGACCCTAAGCAGTACAGAAAAAGAAAAGCCCTCAAAGCTTTGTCTGTTTCTTCATGCAGCAAGACTGTATTCCAATTCTGATAAACATCTCATACAGTGCTACAAAGAAATACATACAAAACTTTTGAATAAATCTAAATCAAACACTGGATGCATTATTTCAGGATCATGAACTAATCTAGTATACCAAATTAAGCTTTTCAATACCAAAATATTATAGCGTGCTTCTAGGTAACAGGCTGGTCCACCCACAAGTGCAAACTAAAGCTATAATTAATATAATTTTATATTTCTATAAAAGACCACTGAGGAAAATGTTTGGTCTGCTTTAACTACATATATAGAAATCATGGGATACCGCAATGGCTGGGCCATTCCCACTGCTTGGACAGAATGGGCAACCTCTCTTAAATATATCTGTGGAAGAGTCCCACTCCTAGACATCTGCAGAGGGACAGCACCCAGAGCAGATCTTAGCTTTAGGGCTTGATACAATAAACAAAAGAACTTGTTCAAAAGAGGCACTGTACCACGACACAAACCAAGAGGAGAAGGTAGTCATTTCCACCATCATTCAAGTCTAGACTCTCTACTACTCCCAATCAAGCATATACTGTATCCACCAATCCCAGGAACACAATACAATTAAATTTTTAGCCAGTTAGTGAACACAGGGTAACTACAGTATGTAGAAATGTACAAAATACTTGAGGCCATTTCTCTTGGCACTAGAATTCATCTTCAGACAATCCAACATATTTGGTAGGGCGGTAGGTGCATGAGGTCTTGTTAAACTACTGTATGTAGAACATTCATCCAATTTTGGAAATTAAGAAAACAGAACAACTGTTTCATCATGGTTTAAAAAAAGGTTTGCATTTCCTACTGCCAGTCAAATACCATTCCAACCAGGGTTTTACAAAACAGGATTTCTGTACATTCAGGTCTTTGATAAAACCAGGTTCCTAATTATATAATAACTCTGTGTTAATCAAATTCATAAAGACTTGCAATTTAATGAACCATAAGGTTTAATTGACCTACCTCTGTGGTTTATGATATTACACATACATTTATGATAATAAGTTCTGAGATGATCTTACTTCATAATAAGATCAAAACTACCGAGAACATTAAATATATTTAGGATTTTAATTTTCACTTCATGTTTTAAAATGCATGGATTTGAGTAAGTTTCATTGTATAACAACTAACTGGCTGATCTGATGAAAGAGTGGATAAAACAACTGAAAGTCTTCACTCATTAACATAGGAACACAAACATAAAAATGAAAAACAAAAATTGCTGACATCTCAAAATGTTAAGCACCTTTCTCCAGAGTAAGTCCACAATCTTTGAGGATGCACTAACTGTTTTTCAAATCTTTAAATTCATATGGAAATGTTAATGTATAGAAACAAATCACACTTTTGAAATATTTTCCTAAACAATATGTTTACAATCAAATTCATCCAAAACAGCACCCACTAGTACCATATCTGATTTAACTTTTTAACTGCATTCATAATCTACAGGCAGTATTAATATAAAACCACATTAATGCACTTCTGAAATTTAATGCAAAATCCTTTTGAATTCACAGATACAGAAAACTAAAATAAGAAGACATACTTATTAACTTTAATAATATACTTAGTTGGCAACCATTCACTATACAGTACATCACCTTAATGCCAACATTTTATATGCATCACAATGCAATAAAAATAAAAATCTTGTGATTTTCTAATTTTCTAGTGAGAAACTCCTGTATTCTGGAAACACTCATTCACCTCCACAACTATATCCTGTTCCAATTCATGGTCATTTTACACAGGACAAATGTAAATTAGAACTCCATGAAATGTTTTAAACATTCTCCTCCTGAAACCATTTTGATTAAATACCACTTAACAAGCCAAATGTATGAACAATATCTTCAAAAACAGATGGGTTTGTTAAAATTGTTTTATTGCAAATGAGGAACAGGATGCTTTTGACATTCATTCCTGTATTATCTAGCAAACATGCTTTACATCAATGTTAATGGTTAGCTGTAATGAAACAGTGCAGACAGAATCAAGAGTTAAGCCCTCCAGCCACTCTGAAAACTGCTGATGTCAGAGCAAGTATGCCACATTCACAGTCATAACTCCCAGAAACAATGGTTTCCAAAAGCTTCATTTGGTCAGGTTCATCAGCTTGGCTTTTCCTTTTATTGTTTCTTCCAGCTGGAGTTACTATAAGTTAAATTACATTGATCAGAATCTGCCAAACCTCAAATAGAACAACTGAAGGGTAAACTACACCAGTAAGCTAACCCACTACATTAACAACTCAAATCCATTTGACTCAGGAATTTCTCAACAATAACAATTTGTTTTTTTAAACATTTATAAAGCTAAAAGACTACATTTTGCATTTTAAAATATAGATGTATCAGGATTGGCAGTTTAAAAAAATGACTACGATCTCGGTAGATCACAGAATTGCTCCTGCATGAAAAAGGAACTCTTCAAGTCGTGCACAATACAAATCTGATAAATCTTGCTTGGATTTATTGATCTAGCTTTAAACATTTAAAAAAGAAAACATTTTAACCAAATCTGAGAGAACATGGCAAGATAACAGAAAATACAAATCGCATTTTTGATCCTATGGTTGTAAGCATACTTTAGGCATTAACTGGATTTTTAACATTTACATTATGTATCAAACTAGTTAAATTTGAGAAAATTAATCAAATCTGATTTAAAGAGTTGGCAATTTCCCATGTTTACACCATTGTGTATAGTAAGGGTAATGTACAAAAAAACACCTTTACTTTGTGTAAATGTAATACATTCTGACAAAGAAAAAGACTGCAATTAAATTGGTGTTTTTATATTCTAAGTTACATATAAACAGGATCAGTGATATTTATAAAATTTGGAAAACGTAAGATTACAGTAACTGTCATTTACAGAAATACAATAAATAAAGCAATTACCTAAAAGAAATGAACATCCAATTTACAACAAAAACATTATTTTGTGCCTTTAAGCAAGCTATGAACTGAAATAAACAAAACACGAATAATATTTCAACGTGACTGCTAGCAGAACATGAAAAGCACAAAACATTACAGATATTTCAGACATGACAAAGTAATTCCTATTTACATGCAGCACTTGACTACTCCTCAGACAAAAAAATACCAGAACCAGAAATGCTTCAGTATGAAGAGGAAACAGTCATTTTGCATTCAAAGTCAATGTAAGGCTCTCAGGCAAACAAGAAACGCTTGCTTCCCGGTCTGAAGATTGAGTAAAGTTTAAAAACTGTATACGGGTTCATTCTTCAACACCACCAAACAGGAGGAAGCAATTCCATTTCAGCAACTTTAAATGATGCAACTTGTCCACTTTCTGGTAAATGAAGGTCATTCATAGTCCTCTAAAGCTTTGGCTCTAGCTACAGGGCATGAAAATCTGCAAAGTAATGATCGCTTCCCGAAATGCTTTGATTGGTTTCCTTTTTCAACATGAGCGTCAGTAGATTGCCCGCGGATGTTTCATGCTGTAGTGAGCCTCTGATGCAGATACATAGGCAGATTCCGGGAAGAAATCCTCATGATAATCAGCCAAAAACCTGCATTGAAAAATAAAAGATCTTTTCCTTAAAAAAAACAACAACAACTACATTTCAATGTGTTGGTGATATCATGATTACATCATGTTAGTCTTTTGGCACTGCATGCTTGATTATGGAAAGAAAATCAAGTGTTAAACTAAAAAAGCATGAATAGATTAACAGTAAACAAATGTTCAAACCACCACCCTCTCGTTACATCTTCAATTAAAAGAAAATCAAAAATCAGTTGCTGTATACAAGACCTAAAGTCTGCCCTAACAGGGCAGCAAGTGTAGGTCAGTAAGTAGGCACTACACACAATTACAGCTGCTTATTCACACAACAGATTCAGAACAAACAGAGTAAATCCAAGCAGAAAAGCAATGTTTTTATTAAATGTTTTTTTTTCACATTTATCCCCATATAACCATATATATAAAATATCTTGATTCGGATCTGCTTTACATTGCTATATACATGAGATTGATATTAGAAGAAAAAAAATCAATTTCAGGGCTTTGAAAAGGCTACAATGTAACTTTGCATCAGCTTTTTATGTAGGCCAGATCCATTAAAATAATTTGCTTTAACTGAACATGGCCTAAAACTTAATCAAATCAAGCTAATCAAAAAGCTTTAAAGATATTTTTCACGGCTTTTTTAAAACTTTGCTGCTGATATAATTTGGTTTCCATGGTTGCTCAGGAACATCAAAGGCATAAAATTCAAACAACCAAAAACCTGAAACACAGAAATCTTGCCTTTCTACAGTTAAAGTGTCAGAGTACTTAAATTATCTGAAAATCAGAACGTAAATATTACACAGACAAACAAAATATTTTATTGCCCAATAAATAAATGCTTAATGCCATTAAATGTTTCAGTCTCCCTCTTAAATGAACCTTAAAGTGAAAAAAAGTTATGTTAGTCTTACTTACAAAAATTGAGGAAAAGTGCTATTGACTTGCAAAGATTCTTCCGGGAAACGATTTAGATTTTTAGATTACAGCCTGAAAGCTACCTCTAATGGGACACATTCTCCTGAAATAACCCAATTCCAAAGTTGGAAGAAAATCTCCAGTCTAATCAAAAATAATCCTACATGTTCTTAGTTTCGGCTGTTCTGACAAATCCTTTAAATCTTGCCATCAAATCTTAGCTTCTTGACTCTTAATCTTATGCCCACAATTATCCTCATAATCCAAGAAATACATCACTCTGTTCACACTTAGGTTGTCCGACACTTAAATGGCATATTTATACATCACGTATCCAACACTTAAATTTAGATGAAATATTCAATCGAAAGTACTACTAAAACGTGAACTGTTGTAAATCAATATTGAATCAAAAAAAGTCTAGCAATGGCAGGATAAAAAGGTTGTGGAAGTGAAATAGCAGTGGACCCTCGATTTTTCAGGGTCTCCTAGCTTCAGTCAACACAAATCCTAGCGCAAGACTTCCAACACTAAAAAGGTATTTATATAACCATATAACCATTGCAAAAACAATCCAGCGTACTTATGCCTACATATGCCAGGCCATATGTAAACTGATTAGAATTCACTTATACATAATGATTTATTTTTAAAGACCCTTAAACAGACTAAAATGTTCATTTCTACAAAACAAGCAATAAAAGAAATCCAATATACTCCAGAAAACACACTATATTGTATCCTAACTGTCTGTAACAATTTAACAAATGTTCCTTAGCTACATTATGCTTTAGCACAGACTAGTGGTTGAAGAACACTGCAATGCAGTCGTTTAAAAAATCCGCTATATTCTACAGAAGATTGTTCCGCTGGATTTAAAGATTAGTTTTCATGTCACTAAATGCATTATATAACCACAAAAATCTTCTTCTGTTCAATGTCTCAGTAAAAGTATAATACCCTGCCCTGACAAAAATCAGTCTGTGACTGACCCGTAACCTTTACTTCTTCTTAACAGTTATCCAAAACATCAAAATATATTAGTCAATAATCATAAGATGTTCTTGTTTATGTACCTCCTCTTTCATGAATCACTTATGCTCTGTTTTTAGACTGACAAAAAAGGAACACATTTTATTGTAATGCATTCTAAGAATAACTTGTAAATTTTGGTTAGTTTTAATCACATCTAATAAAGGTGTTCCATTAAAATATGACAATATACATGTCTTAAGCACATTCTATTTCATATTTCCCATAATTAACAATATTTTCCTGAAATTTTGGGCTGCAGAAAAATGTAAGAATGTTAGAGCTGGACATTCCTTTATCTGGACTGGTTCTAGGTAAGCTGTATGTTCTGTGGTGACCACAATTGTCGGATAAAAGTAGATGAAAAGCACAGATCAGGACACGTGTACAGTACATACAATATCCCTGTCAGTAAGGTCTATTCGTTCAAGAAATGGAAGGTGCACCATGCCCCCCACATACCACCTAGATAAGGCCATCTCTACAAACTGAGTGACCAGGCAAGGAGGAAACTGGTAAAGGGTGCCACTATAAGGCCAACTCATGAAAGAGCTCAAGAGATCAATTGCTGAGATGTGAAAATATTTGAATTGGTCAGTGATTTTCCTGACATTGAGCACTTCACAAAGCTGCCCTACAAAGCTAAGTGGACAACCTATCTCTTATTGCTCATGGAGTTTGTACCAACGCAAACGAGTGGTCCTGAAAAACGTAACAAATGGTGTTGTGGCCAAATGAGACCAAGTGGAACTTTTTGGTCTGAGTTACAAGCATTATATGTTGGGTCTGTGCCAAACCACACATCTCCCAGTCTGTACCTTTCCCACAGTCAAGCATAGTGGCGATTTCTGACATGTCTGCACTGTTTTAGTCTCCTGCACTATTTTGAATTTTCACTTTAATATTTCTACATTCATCCCAAATCTCAGAGCAACAGCACTATCCACGTGACAGGGCTCAGTTGCAGTACATCAGCTGAGGTGAGGGAAAAGCATTTCAGAATTCAGTGGTTCACTCTGTAGTTTAATTGTGCTTCACTGTTACAAGTATTTCAAGCACTCTAATAAATTAAATATAATCTTGGGAGCCCTGATGAAACTTGACAATGAACAAACCTGGCAGGAAAAATGTTTAAGATGGAATATTAAAGAGTAAGGACCTTTAAGTACTTATTTGGAGAGAACTACTTTCATAATTTTATTCTCCATCCACTTTTATAGAGAACTACCCTCTATACACTTAGCAGGAGGTAGCAGTGCTTCTGACTCCAGCCCAATACTACACAATTATCCAACAAGGACCACCCAATGCTACAGGTCACGACTGTGCTCCATCCAGGACTCAAACCTCCACGATGCTCTTGGCTAGGAACAGGTTCAATTCCCAAAAAGAGTACCATGTGCCATCAAAGCAGCACTGGCTCTCTTGGCATAAAATCCAAGCTACGAATCTCAAATGAAAACATAGGAATTGGCTTTTTTCCCCAAATATTCAAGAATACATTTGCACAAAACAATTTTGTGACGTAGCACTCCCTTTATATCACAGTTTAATAATAATTTCACAAACACACATCTTCAAAAACACTATTTCATAGGTTAAAATACAGATGGGCTTCCATGCTTTTAACATTGTTTTTTGTTGTGTAGGGAATACCATTCTAAAATGTCCTTTTAGGCTAAAGATGGTCGTTAAATTTCTTATTGCCAACTTGGTAAGACTCCAGGACATGAGTGCATAATCTGATTGTTCTTCAACTAAAAGTAAACCAGCTGCAATGCCATCCAAATTGCAGAAACAGATTAATAAAGTGAGCATTTGATTAAACACCCCCAATGTCTTTATAAATCTATCAACAGGCTACAGAGATGCATCTCTGTCAGACTAAGAAAATAACTGGCAGGAGTCACAACCGGCAGGAGTGAACAAAAAAAACAAGTTTACAGGTGAATGTTTGATTAATGGGTTTTGTACACAGCAGATTAATATAAATGTCAAAGTAAGCAAGCCAGCTATAAATCAGGGCAAATCTTCTATTTATACAAAGTGGAGAGTACAACTGTCCTAGGTGAAGTCAAGAGTTTACCTCAGGAAAAGCTCCAGATGCTTCACTAAGGCCCTTAAGTTCTTTTCAGGAATGTGCATCTTCCCCAGGATCTCCGGAAGTTTCACTGAACCAAACATAAACAGACATTAATGGTTTCGACTACTGTACCATAAGGACCACTGTAATAAAATGAGATAAAAAGGGATTTCGAAGACCAGAGTGCACCAATGAAATTACCATTCATGCGCACGTTATGAAGGCAGGTTCAACGCAGCGCATGATATGACAGGTTTCTCTAAAAAGGGAAAACAGGTTTCTTTTCCTTCTCAATCCCTCTGTAAATGGATGTTTATGATAAACATGCATATTGAATTTTGCATGAGAGCCAGTTGTTTTTTGACAAGCTGTCTAGTGTCATCATAGTGTGCATGGAGTCTCTGTGACCCTCCGTATCTATTGTTTGAGGCCTCTGTTTCCGCAAGCTAAGTCAGAACCCTCTCTTGCAATTCAGATGCATGGGGCTTTTATGAACAATGGGTTTTTCACTCTCAGGTTTGCCAACTGGTTCAACAAGCTCTGTCTCTTATGCGATGGTCGCTCACTCATCGACAGCTTTCCAAGCCTTCGCCGAGTCTTTCATCTGCTGGATTTTATCCCGACCACCTTCGCATTTCTATATGCAGGAGCATGCTTCCCCATTTTTCTAGCGAAAATGCCAGTGTTCATCTTTCTGGGGGAATGTTGTGCCAAATATCTTAGTTGTTCCCCCCCCCCACCTTCTGTTCCTTTACGTTAAGCAAGAAAGGAATGTTCACCTCAAGTTGTACAATAAAAGCCAAGCAGCACCTCAAAAAGACTATACAATGTTTTTTTGTTTTTGTTCTGAAATGAGAGAAAAAACACACACCAAACAGACGCAGCAGGTGCTGCGATCCATACACGTAGGATGGAGGAGGTGGCTGGTCACTCTGTGGATAGTTGTCAGGAGTCAGCTTCCAGCTTAGCACCTGAGTACAAAAGAGAGACATGGCATTTCTCCATACAATGCTGCCTTAAGGGATGCACTTACCCACCTCACCTGCTGTGGTAACCTGCTGTTTCTCAAGCTGCTTTAAAATAGAAATGCTTACAGCACAGTGACGACATGAACGAAAGTGACAACGCTAAAGCTCTAGGATACTGAGAGACAGCTTTTCTGCCTTATATAATTTGTACTGATTGTGTCTTTCACTTGTTGTATTATGCAGTGCAAAATACCATCTACCGCGGTCATCTGGGAAAACCAGGCCAAAACTGATCTGAAATGCTATCCAGGAATAGTATCTGCCCATAATAACAGGAGCAGAATAATATACAATTATCAAGAAGGGCCTTTTTGTAGGCAAATTTGATTTTGTCTTGAATTGCTGGAATGAATAGGTGAATATACAATACTCAATGAAAGGGATTGAAGATTTTCTGAAAATAAGTTTTGAGATGTTTGCACTACAGAAGGTGGGAAGCAAACAGAATTAATAATTGTAGTCCAGCGTTTATCTCTGTTATAACCAACACGATGAATTGTGTATTAAAAATTATAGCTTCTTACAAATCTTAAGTGCATCTAAACCAGAGCCTAACTGATGAACACTTCTTGACCAGCTGTGAAACGTTTGCTTAGTTTTAGATATCTGTCAGAGGGATAGAAAAACAAATCTTCTCAAGACTAGCTAAATAAAGTATAAAATTATGTTGAGTGTAATCTTCTTCTGTAATGGTGATATTCACTCCACAAAGAAGACTCGAGAAGAGTCAAAGCCCTGTAGATTTTGAATGCACATCTTTGAATACCCTTGGTCTAAATACCTGGATATAGTAGCAGACCACTTAAATCACAGTCTTATACTGAACTACAACTTGTAGCTGTCAAGAATTAGAAGTATCGCTATCCAATCACCAGTTACTGTACCACATCAACTCTCAGTTTATCTTGATAAACCATATTTTTTTGTGTAGCATCAATTCTATGAAGCCACATAAGTACATAATTTTTAGATCGTATACATAGATGCTCTGTCAGTTTCTAAAATAATCATTAAAGCTTTAATTTAAAGATAAACAAATGTGTCTGATTGCACTAGCAAGAGTAAATCAGTAACCTCATTCAGTTCGTTGTTTCTTCTGCTTTCCAGACCAGACAGCATTGAACTTCCTTCCTTGCTGGGCGTGAGAGTGAGAGGAGATGAGGAGCCGCTGTGAACAGGAGTTTCTGAGGGAGGAATGTCATCTGGTAAACACTGTGTTACTGCAGGTCATTAAAATACAATGCACATTTATTTTACTTTATTTTCTTGCTTAAGAAATCATTTATTATGCATTCAAATATGACAACAAGGAATGAGTTATGGTCAGATAAGAAAGTGTAGTCTAAATTAATATGTATTCAAAAATAAAAGTATTTTAGTGCTCAAAAGTAATCTCAAAAGTTAACTGCAATTAACCGACAGCCCTTATATGCATCTATGTACAGTCTATGTTCATATCCACACTCATTTACATACTCACTGTACCTTGCAAAACATTTTTGCCCCCTTACAATTACATCCCATTTAGTTGAATAAGAACATTTGTTTGAAGTAAATATTCTTAAGTAAACCTCAAACTGAAGACATAAAAGTTCAAATTAAAAACTAAGGATCAGTGCCTTGCCGTTTTTGCTGAAACTTTATATACACGTGTAGCAGGCCTCTATATACTGCATGGATACATTTGAATATCTAAATACTCCTCAATGTTGAAAGATAATTGATAATTACAAAACTCCACACTGATCACTTCCACTGAACAGTAAATTTTGGCTGTACGTTTCTTTCTCAGCACACCCATGAGACTAAACTTTGGGCCGGACTCGCAGGTAAGGGACACTTACTCTTCTCTATGTTCAGGAAGAACTTGGGCAGCGGTGCAGGCGTGTCTGTGTGGCGGCGCTTAGGCTGCGGGGAGGCACTGCTCTCCGACAGCCGGTCACCCCCGGAGGTGTGGCGCGTGGACCTGCGCAGGGAGTGCAGAGCCTCGGGCTCAGCTTTCTTGCGTTTGGGTGTGGAGACCTCGCCAGCAGGCTGCTGGCTGTCTGTGGACTGCGGCGTGGAGGGGTTCAAGGCAATAGGGCTGGGAGAGCGCTCTTCCAGTGTCCTGCTGGGAGACACGACAGGTCAGCTAATCCCAGGTAAAGACAGCACCGTAGGCACATCTGGACCAGCAGTAACAGCACAATGTGTGGGTACCCCTGAGGGAGTCTACAGAAAGGGCAGCGAAGTATAAATATACAAGACAAGTACCTCTGCAAAGGAGAAGAAACATCTCCATAAACAAAGCCACACATTAAGAATAACACATTTTATTGTTGTTTCAAGAAAAGCCTTGAAATAAGAATGACCAAATAACCTTATAGACAGAATTCTAGTCTCCTCTTGTGGGTAAGCATCCTCTTCCCAAAATATAACGTATACAGTATATAGTAACACGTATAAATGGTGCAATTATGTTAGTATACAGTGGGTGTCTTCACTGTCATCCATCACAATGTGGCTGAACTCTTTCAGGTTGATAAGATTTGAGGGAAAATAATAAAAATGGACACCTCCATAAATTATACAGCCACAAATTTGTATTCATCGTAGTGTTGGTCAACATGAGCTTTCTCTCTGTTTTTTTTTGCAGCCAAACAAATACGTGTAGCTCTTTAAATTCACAGGAATCTTCACATTTATTTAAGCAATTAATCAAACTGATCCCAGCAGATAGAAACTGACCCTCCCGAGAAACGGATGATTTGTGAAGTCAATATCTCACCAGCTCTTTGTCAATATCTCACCAGTGGTTAGGGAAAGGACATGTTCCCAACAGTTTTGTAAGCATACAAAAACCATTCTGAAGCAGACACACTAACACTTCACAATAAACCAAGGAGAACATAAAAATTAATAGTAAAAGATTATTTTATGTTTGACATTTGTCAAACCACTGACACTTGTAAAAATAATAACATATACAGTTTATGAAATGACATAACATTTTATAAAGCGGGTATCAGTATGAACTTTAAAATGATTAAGGGTCAAACTGAGTATCTCCTCTTTGCATTTGGTCATGCATATGTGGTCTATATTTCTTCTCTGTGTATTAAAGTATGAAAATTCTAAAAAAAGATTGTGCTCATAAAAAGTAATTAAAAATGACTGACAGGAGAGGGAAATTAATGCATAAACTGTGTTTAAATTCCAATATGATTCCAATAATTCAGCAATATGAAAAGCTTTTTTTAATTAAAAATGCAAATGAGAGCTAAAAAATAAAACGTGAAACATGGGTGAATAATTCCTCATCTCCCTCACCAGGTAATGGCAGGTTCTACCTTGTATAACACGATTCTCAGTTTGATGTCTTTGCAGATACTGAACCCCGGTCACAGTCTTACTCAACCCTTAACTGTAAAAAATACATTAAAAACTGCCACATAGTTATATTTAGTAAAGTTTACTAACAATTATTTGAAGAGTGACAAAATATACTTCACCTTTGAAACAAGTTTTGGCCTAATCCCCAGCAGTTTTAATTCTGGGTAGAAATTCAGGAGGCAGTCTTTACTTAATAAGTAAAGTTCCCTATGCTTGCTTCTTCAAAAAAACAAAACAAAACGGAACCTACTTAACTTAGCTTTGTGCTTAATAATACAAACTATTTCACATACCTATTAAAATCTGTATTAAAAATAGAATTTTCACTGTTACATGCAGGATATTGACTGAAGCCTGTCGGGACAGCACAGTTTTAAACAAATAGGCTTATACAATACACAAAAAGAACAGAACTATCTTTTCATTCACTCTAGAGAACACAGCAATCTGATCCCTGAAGGGATCTGGACTAATTGCAATTCACTTTTCAGCAGAAAACTAACTTTTGTACAGTCATTGCAATGACTCGATTTCTCTTGATAGACATCTAAATAAAAATGTCTTAGGTTAATTAAAAACACTATATTCACACTGGAAACTGGATTTAGAAACATCCGGAATAAACACTGCATGTGGACTTGAAATTTAACCAAAAGAAAACCGTCAACGTTTCCAAAACAGCTGGATGACATCATTGCGCCCAATAACGACAAAATAGGCCTAATGGCCTCCTTTCATTTGCAACCTTTCACCTGTTTGTAATAATTATTTATTCCTCTTTCTCTTAAAAAGTCAGACTTTAAATGCACTTCAGCACTGTGACATAGATTTTGTACCTGCTAGTAGTGGCTGAGCTCTCCTTTATGGGCAGAAAAAGCTTGGACGAGCTGACCTTCTTGAACTGAGCATGCTCATATGGATAAAGCAGAATCATTGGGAGCGTAAAATCGAATGTTATCCGCAAGCCATCCACCATTTCTTTACAAAGCTCTTCACTTAAAGAGGAAAAAAAAACATTTAGAATTAAGACTATACACGCATGTAAATGGCAAAGTCAGGTTCAGCTTACTAAGCATTAAACATTTATTTGTTCAATAGAGGTGCCAGAGTGTGGCTTTATAAGTAACCTCTTGCAGTAAGAGGAGTTCTTACTGATGAGTTCCAAATTACAATTAAATAAGTATTGCATATGTTTTTCAAAGTAAAAAATAAGACCATTTTGGACAAAAAACTGCCCCAAAAAATAAATCTGACAAAAAGAACTCAAGGTAATGTTAATTATAAAGGTACTGTGAAAATAACTTGATATATAACAGATATACAGCTGGTTTAAAGCATGACTGAAAAGCAAAGTCAATGTTTATCAAGCACTATCCTCTGGACTCCTGAATACTCAATATTCACGGAGATAAATTATGACATTGTCTCTTATAATTCGTCTTATTTTGTCTCTTGGGTCCCACAGCACTACAGTATAAACCTAATTAAAAGTCATGTTTTTCTATTTTACCAGCTTCTCTTAATTGAAGTCTTTAGATTTAGATTTGACAAGTCATCTTTTTCTAAAACCTAAAAAGATTACATCTCAAATTACATTTTCGGTGACACTAAAAATCATACATACCAACAACTATACATTAAAGCACATGTGAAGAAAATACGCTTAATTACTGAATCAAATAATTAAATATTCCTGCATCCAATCTGCTGTACCAAGTTCAACTTACTTCTTCTCCGGTGGGACATAATGAGGGTTGAGGTTCATCTGAGTAGCTGTCTGATGGTGGCGAGATCTTTCGTTGGCTGAAAAAGCTGCATTTATTGTAAAATGCTTTACATAGGACTCCAGGATGCTTACAATGTTCATCTGGCAAGGAAGTTTGACCAGCTATTAAATTAAAAAAAAGCAACAATTAAATAGAACAAAATACCAAAGGAAACTGAGCAAACAGATGAGGCTAAATACCATAAATATCAGTACAAAAAATCTCCAAACAGTTTTATACTAGGATTTGTAGAATTGTTTAGCACACAGGAGCCAGATGGCATGTAATGAGAACATCATAAAACTCCTAAGTAGTCCAGCAGTCCTGCCAGTGGTAGGAGAGACACACCACAGGCTAGAATGATTAGGTATGCTCATTATGTGTACTCTCACATCATGCAGTACAAAGATATGAGGACAGCAGTCTTCATTTCGCTTCAGTCAGTATGTCACCATAGTACTGTATATCCACATTTCACATGCTTCGCAAATCAAAGACTGATTCTTGCTGGTGATTTTGCTTTCCCTTATACATTAATTACATCTTGAATGTCACAAAAAAAAACTGATAAGGGACTCCAGACATGATTTGGCCAGGACACCACAAATCTTGTCTTTTGGGTAAGCAATGCACCTCCCAAGAAGTACACTATGAACCACAGCATCTAAGCTCTCTAGTAATTTTAGGTTCATGGGTGCCAACAGGGAGCAAAGCATAGGATTCTTAGTGCATGAAATGAAACTTTCAATAATTTCTCTCCTACATCCATCCCATTGCAGTGCAAGTGAAACACGACTTACTTTAGTTTGGTCATTTTTTACATAAGACTTGCACATTACCTTACATAAATGTGTCAATGAACACCACTTTGCACATCACCTTAATAAATGTCAATAAAATAAAGGATTACTTATGGTAACTCTTTAAACAAATTAGTATTGCAGTGATAGTACTCTGCAAAATATACTAGTAAGGTTTCACCAAATAAGATAGAGCAGCATTTTAAATACCTTAGAGCAGCATCAAAACAATCTCTAAATGCCAATAAGAGAAAATAAAAAGTCTTGCACAATTACTGTGATGTTATCTTTTTTGTGCAACACATATGGATAAATTTGGGAAATTAAAACTAATTTCTCTGTAGAAAGAGAAGATCTTCTGCTGTAGTATGACATCTTTAATGTGAATTCCTGATGTGCAAATAAAATAAACCTAAGGATGCAAAATACAATTAGACAGTGAAAAGAATTATTCACAATGTCTGCATAATGGTTGCTTTTCTATGAAGGACCTTATGGTACCGTACTATAAACTCCAATCATCTAAGCTTTGTGCACAAAGCGGCAACATTTTAATACAAAAGTGCAATTATTGCCTTAGCGCACTGGAGATTAAAGGTGAGTTTAATGGGGGTGAAATTAAATTATCAAGAATTACTGCTACAATAAAGCCGTGAAACCTATGAGATCATCAGACTACACTGGCAGGCAGGGACATGCACTATTATCCAATTTCTTTTTCCCCAGCATGAAAATGGAATGTTATGAGCTCTCTAAATGCTGCTAATCCCAAAACAACAATCAGAAGAGGGGGTTATTTTTGTACCGCAGACTTCAGCTTGCGTCTTCAAAGACTGCCAAATGTCAGACATTCTGTTCCGTACCTTCTTCCTTTTGTTAATGTAGTAGCAGTCATCTTCCAGTTTCTTCTTCAAAACCTCAGGGATTTCAATGTTTATTGCCTTGTCCTCAGTTTCCTTCTTTGGATGAGTTTCTTGTTCTTCTTTCTAAGGTAAAAGAAGCAAAGCTAGCAAAGTTGGCAATTATGTGAAGAGATTTAACATTTCTGGAAATACATTTTATTGTATTTAAGATGCTCATATTTCCTTAACATCCAGCTGTGTGTGCATTTTGATGTTCATGATTCATATTTTAGCATGTTTTTCACTAGGCACTTGGTTGACTTGGTTTCACTCGGCACCTTTTCTCTTACTGGCATCTTAATATTCCATAAAATGAACTAAAATTAAGTGACTAACCACTTAATGTAGGGCATAATTTTACCATTTCTGCAGTTTCTTCAATATCAGACTCCTCACTTTTCAATGATTCTACGTCCTCTGAATCGTCCTCGTCACTGTCTTCTGAAGAGGACGTTAAAGCTTAAGAAAACACAAAAAACATTTTGTAAAAATTTGCAATGGTTTGGAAAGAAAAACAAATATTTTGCAATGTGAGGGACTGGGTTGCAGCAATATGGCACCTCTATCACAAAGACCTAACCCTGGCATAGTGTTTCATCAATCCTCAGGTGTGTTGACAACGTAAAAACAAAATCTAGTTATCATATGCTCTGCATACCCCTTTTCAGACGTGGGACACAGCAGGATGTCACAGTTGCAATGCTCATCTTCACACTGCCAATAAAACTGACGGATAAGATAAGATATTCTTTTTTCTTTGCATTGACAGCAAAATCCATCAATAGGAAGTAATGATATTCATTAAAATCACTATAATGATGAGCAAAACTGTTAATGTGTACAAAAACCAAACATGCTGAAACCAAATGTGTAAGAAATCCACACACCTATTCTAAAAACATAATAGATAAAAGGACACATCTGTTATACAACATATTGTGACACGTGTAGGAAAGCAAATTCAACTTATAAAAACTGATTGGGCTGCTAGAATATTATCCTGTACAAAACTGAAATTACAAATTAAGTAATGCATATACCGTCTCCTTAGAAAATATGGCTTCCTCTATCTTGTAAAAATAGTAGCACATTAACTGTGTATTTTGGATTATAATTTATATGGTAATTCAAACATCTGTCCCTGTCTCTTCTACTAAAAGAAGTGTGCATCTGAGCAAACAGAAGACCCTATGAAAGGTTATAAATTAGAGGATGCCATTCGCGCCACATACTGGAGCCTGTTTGTTAGTAGCTAAATAATCCGAGGATCTCATCTAGCAGTTTCTTTATAAAACCGATGGTATCTGCCTGCTCAAGACTCCTACAAACCTTTCTGTACAAAGGTGTGCATCCTGTCCCAAGTTTAAAATTTGTTTTCTGAATAAACTGCTTATTAAAAATTAAAACAAATTTCAAATTTATTCTGCGACTGATCTAAATAAGAAGCTTCTGAGTGACTGGTAGCACACTGATCAAAAGATAACTTGGCACAACCGACAATGCATTTACGCAGGGTAGTCTTTGAAGTACAACATTAGTTTAAGACATTAAGTATAATAATAATTATTAATTGCTTACACTTATATAGCGCTTTTCTGGACACTCCACTCAAAGAGCTTTACAGGTAATGGGGACTCCCCTCCACCACCACCAATGTGCAGCATCACCCTGGATGATGCGACGGCAGCCATAGTGTAAGGGCCAATGGGAAATTTGGCCAGGACGCCGGGGTTACACCCCTACTCTTTTACCTGGATGGGAGACCTCCTGGGAAAAACTAAGGTTGCTGCTGGAAGAGGTGTTAGTGGGGCCAGCAGGGAGTGCTCATCCTGCGGTCCATGTGGGTCCTAATGCCCCAGTATAGCGATGGGGACACTATACTGTAAACAGGCACCGTCCTTCGGATGAGACATAAAACTGAGGTCCTGACTCTCTGTGGTCATTAAAAATCCCAGGGCGTTTCTCGAAAAGACTAGGGGTGTAACCCCGGCGTCCTGGCCAAATTTCCCATTGGCCCTTACCAATCATGGCCTCCTAATAATCCCAATCTATGAATTGGCCACATTACTCTGCTCTCCTCCTCACTGATAGCTGATGTGTGGTGAGCGATCTGGCGAACTATGGCTGCCGTAGGATCATCCAGGTGGATGCTGCACATTGGTGGTGGTGGAGGGGAGTCCCCATTACCTGTAAAGCGCTTTGAGTGGAGTGTCCAGAAAAGTGCTACGCATTCATTGCTGGATTGTGATGAGCTCCAGCTTTCCTGTCACCCTGAATTGGATGAAGCAATTACGAAAAAAATGGATGGATGGATTAATGTTATGCACATTTATGCATTTTGTATTGCAGAGCTATGCACGACCAATTTACCTTAACGAAGAGAGGGCTGTCAGGAATATAAACAATACACCTCTTTAAAAAACAAAGTTAATTTCTCAGACATCACTTATTTCAAAAATAAAATCCATCTTCCTACATTCACATGCAATTAAATATTAATTCTCTCAAGCAAATACTGAGTTTTTATATACTTATATAGTGCTTTTTATTAAGTCTGTGGATCATGTTACTGATTAAATGTTTGTCGTGTCATTTTCATTGATTATTCACAACTGATGGATACTCTTCAGTGACTTTGACTGTTGTATAAGCATTAAATCATCTGGTTAATGAAAATCAAATGTGCTCAAGTGATGAGTTGGATTAGCTTGTTGAATGAAAAGAAAAAAAAAACAGAAAGATACTGATATGCCTCATTTGTCAGCAAGACATCACAGGCTTCTTCTATTAGCATGTTGGAAGCTGGCCTGTTAGCACCCTGTTGCTCGCCAACTGCCAGCAATTTCTAACCTGGCAAGATGTGAAGTCTGTTAATGGTGGACAACTATCTGGGAGTCCTTAAGTTACATCACCTTGACAAGACCAAAGAATAAGTCTGAGAAGGATAGCGTGGGAGGAAAGTCTAGTTCCTAAAGAACTCCAATTGTAATGCGTCACAACACCGTGGCCGCATGGAGCTAGACTGATCAAGTCCTGGGACTCCCTCGCTGCCCTTCTTGTGGGTTCAGCCTTACATGACAACAGTTCAACAGGATAATGCATGCTGCTTGTGTAAAAATAAAAAAATAAAAATAAAAAAAGAATTTTCTCCCAGAATCTTACAGGAGACTTATGTTATAGCTGCTCTATCATCCTAATTTGAGCACCATTGAACATGTGTGCGGTGAGCTGGGATGACAAACCATTCAGGGCTCATAGACAGGTGAACTGGCACATGCTTGTCTAGTCTGCTGAAGAGGAATGGAAAAGAAGCTCACAAGACAACCTATAACACTACGCCTGGCACAGATATACAGCTTGTATATTTCTATTGTCTTGTGACTTTCATTTGTTAAGAACAAAACCTACTATGTAAAATAATCCAAGACATTTTCTAGATGAACAAGTCAATCTGTTGCAGTTCTAAGCTATGTATTTTTTCTCAGTATATGACAAGTGCATAGAATTTCAATGCTCTGACAATGCCACCATAAAATTCTGAATTTAACAATCAATAGAGAATAAACAACACTATTTATTAGGATAAAAAGCAGACTTCAAATTCAGTGGTGGTGTACTGTATTTATGACCATGAGTACAACAATCCTATCAGCTAAGTACTTCTAATATAAAACCATGAAGATGTTTCAGATGCCGATATTCCTTTACCAATATTCCTACCAGTCACCTACTTTTGCCAATTATCAAAGGAAATGCATTTTTAACAAATGTAAGACTTCACTCTAAATATCTACCATGACAAAACACCTTCCAGAACCCCTGGCCAATAAAATGACCAACAGTGGGAAGCAGTCATTAGGACCTGGGACTGGAAGGTCAAGGGTTCAAAGCTCAGTAAATTACTTCCCTCCAGAATGGTACTCTCCCAGACCATCACTAAAAATGTTTCTCAAGACAAAAATCTCAAGTCAGTAGGTTTCTGTCACACAGGTAAAAACACTGCACGGTTATCTTTTATTTTAGACAAATTATTCTTCTGTTGTTTAAAAATGGGTTTAAGTTTCTGCTGCTGTTACCAAAATTACTTTCAAAAAGACAAAATCAGAAAATAAATCGTCAGTGTGAGGTTAGCATAGTATCATTATATGTTTTTGCATATTCTTTATGGGCAAACAGACGACCGCTGCCTGTCAAAGCTGCTGTTCCATTTATCAACAAAATCACCTACATAATTTTTCTCACATTTTGTTTAAGTACAATATCACATATAATGGTATCTTTAAAGCAAGTAAAAATGAAAAGATAACCAAAAATGTCTTAAATAAAAAAAATCATTTAAATCTGCAGACAGGAGAGCTTGACCAGCATGTGTTTACTGGATGTGTGGACAGCAAGTTATTCCAAAGCCTTTACTGCAGAAAGGCAAACATCTCCCAGTTAAATGACTCCTCTGCAGGCTGTCTGTAAACGGATTACACCTTCAAGACCATTACATGGTCAGTCAAACCATGAGCGCCAAGCCTTTAGAAGACTTACAATTATCATCATTTTCTTCTTTTTCGTCTTCAGGAAGGGTTTTTAACACCGAGTCAACACCTGGAAGACGACAGCGTCGCTTCTTCCATCCCTTTCTCCTCCTGAAAGAGACAAACAGCTTTAAGTAACCTTCCTGAACGCTACACAGTACATAGCAGTACCCACCGAAAAACACTTCAGGGCACAGGCTATTCACAGAGCTATCCTTCAGGCTGTACATGGACTAGGCTGATCCTGATACATTACTAAAACTGAGAATGAGCAGAATGATTTGTTTCAATACTCAATGCCTTACACAACGGGGAGAGTAAACATCACATTGATTAGATTAGTTATTTCACTTTATTACACTCTTATTATAAACATATTTTAGTAGAAAACAAATACACGAGTGTGAACAGACCCTGTATCTGGTTATCTGAAACTAATTATTTGCAAGCACAACACACAGAGAAGACAGTGACTTCCATTGGTGAAGTGACCTTGCTGTGTCTTTGCACCTAGTACAAACACACTATCAGATTCCATCTGACATCTACTACACCAGGGTCAATCCCTACAGCTAAACAGAAGTATCACTGAATAAAACTGTATACATCACAACACAATTTTATGGAAACCTCAAAACAGAATGACATCCATTTTTACATTGTACAAACATTAACAATTACATTTTCTAGGTTAGCATTTCATAGCAAGCACAGTCTATTTTATTACAGGGTTTTCTTACATGCGAGCCACAGCTTTTCGTGCCAGTTTACGCTGTAATCGGCGGTTTTCATCCGTGTCACGCAGAACATGGTCCTCTGCTGCCCATCTATCCCAGCTGGAAGTGAAAGAGCATGATTCATTACTACTGGGGATTATCTGTCTGAGGTGTCCTTTTCAGTAGAATTACCATGTGTGCTTAGACTGAAGCCTTCGCCATAAATACACCATGAACCGCACGAAAAGACACCTGACATTTGCACAAAATGCTGGACAAGAAATGATTTATCCCCAATTTTGACTAAAAGATTCAGCTTCATTTTCCATAAATTAAAGGGTTAGTGGGCAGATTTGCATGGTGTCAAGTAACCCGAGAAAACACACAGTTTCATTTATTTTCTGATACTGATGCGACAGCCAAACCACAGAAATGTGGACAGAAATCATTCAGTTTTCACAATCTGTTTATTGCATTAGAATTTATAAGCGATTCAATAAGACGAAGACCTGTTTATCGAATAAATTGATAACAATAGCAGCACTAAATAATAGTACAAATGATGAAAGATTATAAGAACAAAGAATATTCCTGATAAAGAATTACAAGAGTTACAAGAAAGAGGAGGCCATTCTTTCAATTTGGCTCTTTTTTTTACAATAACAAAGTCAAATATTATGTCTGTCGATTCATCTGAAGTTGTTTATTTCAGTATCCTAACTATCCCTGCTGCAAATAAACCAGAGCTATACACAACTTTCAGATATTTCAAAACGGGGTACTGCAACAATAAAACATGCAGGAACAGAAGTTTTCATAAATAAGTAGCATACATTTTGATATTTAAATAGATGTGACAATTTTATCATTTCAGAATTAAATGTACTAACCTGCTTACATATAGATTTCTTGGAATACACAGCTAAATGTACAAACACAAATTATTTATATCAGTAACTAATAGTTGGGGGATACCAGCTGCACAGGATTCTACTTTGAAATAAAATGCACTTACCTTCGGTTCCAACCGTTAAAATGAATCAGATACTCTGGGACCTTTCTTCCCCTTTCATCTTTCCCAACAACAACATCAACAACCTAAAACAGAGATTCACTTGAAACAGCATACTAAATATTGATTTAAATCACAAGAAAGAAACTTAAACAGTACTTTATGGTATAGTGATCAATAATGGATGTTTTTTCTGGTGATCCTGAATTGGCAGCTTGGTGACCAGGAATAGGTACCTATACTGCAGGTAGGAGGTGCAGTGTTTTGGATGAAACATATAACTTAGATCCAGTGGCACTGTTGGAAAAAGTAGGGACATCAGCCCCATGCATACCAGCTGAATTCTGCAACCTCTTCTTAGGCCCTCCTTAATTCAAATGATCTTCCTTTCCCACCAAATATATTGTGATTTTTTTTCTTAAATGTTATTAAACATCAAAGAACACAAAGGAGAAAGGGTATCCACCCGCACAGGTGGATACTAATTATTATATGACGTAGTATATGTAAATTGCTCTCTAGAATCAATTCGGATTAAACGCACATGCAATTAATTTGCATTAATGACCCCACTACTTGTACGGGTGTTGGCAGCTAACAGATCCAAGGACCTTATTGAGCCAATTTTTTTTAACAGAACTCGCGGTAAAAATAGTTTTTGCAGTTTGATCCAGTAATTGATTTTTGTAAATCAATGTAACAATGATAACCTCCAAAATTTCACTGCAAAAAGCAAGCGGATTGAACAAACGTACTTTCAATACATACGCAAGCACAACGTCCTAGCTACTTGGACAATCTTTCAAAACCAAAAAAGGTTTAATGTTTTTCTTCAATACAAAATAGACAACAACTAAGCTGTGTAAAATATGCCGTTTGAAAATAGGGCGGGGAACTACAATGTAGGCACTTTATTCCCAAGACAGTACATATGTGGGTATTTAAATAGGATGAAACGCAGACAGCTACTCATAATGAGGAAAGGAGAAACCTGACTAAAACCCGTTCTTCCGCAACTCAAATATGTCTGTGCATAAAACGCAGATGAACATTTTGGAAATGGGACTAGCTGCCGAAACTGGAACTGAGGACCCTGACACACGAGGGTCTGAATCTCAGCTGTAACAAAAGTAACCAAGCGATCAAGATGGGCCGGATGTCTCCCAGTCATGTGCAACCTCTCTCCGGTTCTTCTCTCAAACCATACAATGACTACAGCTTTTTATTGAGCCGGCCAACCTACACGTTCACATAACATGTTCGGTTACGGCCTCCTACATACAGGCAGGCCTCAGCCGGAATGCTAACAGTATTTTTTAAATATATTACACACCTCCTTCTCATCAGTAAAATAAATATGTCCCAACACTGAGTTAAAAATAAATTAGGAAACGTAGACGCTACAAAGTAATCCGTTTCCTGGAAACATGCATTGCAGTAACTCGCCAACTCGAGGACATCGGAACAAATCCCAATAAATCGACTTCAACAATCATAAAAAGAATAAATTAAAAATCCAGAGTGCATAAACTGGCGGAGGGACCAGCATAAACTGACTCATTCCCAATTCCTGCTCGGTAAAGCAATACAAGGCTCTTTACCTTTGCATCATAAAGCACCTTGGCCTTTGTGGGGTCTGGTTCGAAACAGAGGACTTTCTCTCCTTTGTGAAATTTAAATTTCATTCCCCGAGAGTTCATTTGTTCATCATGGCGAGCAGGAGAGGAGGAATCTGGACCCCCGCTCCTTAACCCGTTCCGCGCCGCGCCTTATCAAATGAATCCTGCTCCCGAAAGCGGGAAATACAGTCAGGATACGGCTAAGCAATTGGAAACGCGCTACAAGATAGAAGGACTGATCCTACCAGGCCACCGTAGCGCAGCAAGCGTTCTAGTCAGGCACTCGCTCAAGGCAACCCTGTAAACGGAAATCGGGAGTACGGGGTCTTGTTTTGCCGTCGAGGCATGCTGGGCAATGTTGTTTTCAACAATGGATTTGTAGATTAGCATTGTTTCAAATGCCCATTTTGCAGGACTGAAATTATTCACTGATTATATGACATTTAATATATGTTTAAAGTTAGTATCTTGTAGACTACTAAATTAAAGTACTAATGGTACAAGCAGGGTAATAATAATAACAATAATAATAATTGCTTACACTTATATAGAGCTTTTCTGGACACTCCACTCAAAGCGCTTTACAGGTAATGGGGACTCCCCTCCACCACCACCAATGTGCAGCATCCACCTGGATGATGCGGCGGCAGCCATAGTGCACCAGAACGCTCACCACACATCAGCTATCAGTGGGGAGGAGAGCAGAGTAATGAAGCCAGTTCATAGATGGGGATCATTAGGAGGCCATGATTGGTAAGGGCCAATGGGAAATTTGACCAGGACACCCCTACTCTTTTCAAGAAAAACCCTGGGATTTTTAATGACCACAGAGAGTCAGAACCTTGGTTTTACATCTCATCTGAAGGACAGTGCCTGTTTACAGTATAGTGTCCCCACCACTATACTGGGGCATTAGGACCCACATGGACCACAGGGTGAGCGCCCCCTGCTGGCTCCACTAACACCTCTTCCAGCAACAACCTTAGTTTTTCCCCAGGAGGTCTCCCACCCAGGTACTGACCAGGCTCACACCCACTTAGCTTCAGTGTGTGGCCAGTTGTGAGTTGCAGGGTGATATCGCAGGGTACCCTTTTATACAAAAATGTAGTTCTACAATATACATGAAAATTGAACACAAACATTCTAACGGCATTATCCCTTGGATACTTTGTGTGATTTAATTGCTTTACAGTTGCAAAACCTTTCTTACAGTATCAGGAACAGAAAGTTGCACTTGTCAGACTGTTTCCACATCCACTTTTTCTGTAAAGTTTAACTCATTTTGTTAGAGCTAACCATGATACCACTCTGCTGTCGATTATAACTAAAGCAAAACTTATAAAATAAATTGCCTGTATGTCAGATACTGTATAATATCATTATATCTTACCACTTAAGCAATAAAGAGAGTAAATACGAATTACAACACATGACTAAGACTTCATAAGTCAGATATTTATTTGCAGTGAAATGTGTCTCTCTCTTTTTAGCTCAAAACAAAAGCTCCAGCCAGAAATTGTGCTCTGTACAGCAGTTGTGGTGTACGAATTGACGGAGATGCTGAACCAATACTGCCTGGAGAGCCTGCACATTTCACTCTGAGCAGTTTCCAGCCAAACGGAGTCTGAAGAAAGCATATCTGTGCCCAAGCAATTCTTCACTGCCTCACTATTTTTCAGATTGCCCCATCTTCTGTCACACTCTGTATGATCAACGTGCCACATGCAGTGGTGCAAAGTGCTTTCTATCCCGTTTGATAGCAGTTCATTGAACCAAAGATGTCATCCTGTCATTTCTTGAAGGAAACCAGGGTATCGGTTTCAACAACATGGCTGGGCAGCTTGTTCCACACTCCCACAACCCTTTGGGTAAAGAAGTGCCTCTTTTTCTCAGGTTTAAATGTCCCTTATTTATATAAATCTACATACATTTAGTGTACATGGTTTCCTCTTCTTCCATCAAATTCATGTTTCACTGTTCATTCTAAAGAAATCGGCTTGGTTGACACTGTCAGTATCTTTAAGAAAATGTTTCAATGTTCATATCAGGTCTTTCTGTAATGTTCTTTCTTCAAGACTAACCAGGTTCTGTTCCTGCATCCTGTCAGCGTAGGACTTTCCCTAAAGGCCTGGAATGTACAGTATCTCTTCTGTGCACAGATTCCAGAGATCTGATTTTATTTCTGTGCTTTTAAATATATATATATATCCTAACATTTTTTTTGCTTTTTTATTGCTTTTCCTTGGATGTAAATGACGAGTCTTTTTCATAAATAGCCCCTTCCAGCCTGATGTTTTCTATGTTGTATTTATAATTTGGTTTTGCTGTGCACATGCTGCTGTTGTCTATAGCAGAAAATTGAAAAGCAGAACTTTTCAACATTGATAGTCAACTGTCGGGTGTTTTCCAGTCCTGAAATGATTTAATGTAAGCAGCCTGCATTTGAACTCTTCATTTGTTCTACCGCATACAGTCCCTGACGTCTGCAAAAGAGAACGTATTGTTGTATACGTATTGTTGTATGGTTTATCAGTGTTGGAATTTTAGTTCCATAGGAATGTCATCACTCAGTTTGACCACAAGATGGGGTAGTTACCTTTACTTTTTGGGGTTCTGCAATTATCTAGAATAAAACACGGTTCACCACAAGAGCACGACCAGACCAAACAGAGACAACAGAGTCCAGTGTACCGGAGGGACTGGAAGTGCTTTTTCTGATAGGGTTACAAACACCAACACAGAATCTGACTAGGGAGATCAACTACAAGGAAGAAACGACCACACAAAGACAACACAGCAACTTTTTATCCTTTCCCAGCAGCCCCTCTGGGCCTTAAACTGCATAATTAATGTACAGTCACAACATTGTAGTCATTTAACAAGCTGCTACAGGCAGTGGTGTTAGTGGACCAGAGTAGGGGCACTCTTCCCTCTTGTGAATTTACAAATTAACGGCAGCGTCGTTCAGGCGTTCAGGGTTCTAGCTACTTTTAAAGAACCCATTAAACATCCCACGACACTTTTCACAAGATTAATGGTATCTCAGTGTCCAGTCCAAATTCCAATCTTTCTGCACAATCTGGTATATAATAATGATTCTCATGTATAATAAGTATTCTCACACACACCTTACTGTTCCTACACACTTGCCTTATCTATTAGTTTTCAAATCTGTAACTAACAGAAGTTCACCTCAGCCTTTCCATCACTGCTGAACTGATGAACCCCAAGTTATGAAATGTGATGCTACTTGGGAAATATTTTCTTTTCAACATACATTCTAAACAATCACAGGTAAGCCTGTTACTCGGTTCCTTTTTGCTCTTTCTATTACATGTACAATATTTTAGCTCAGGTTGGATTTGTGTACACCTCTCTCCATTAATTTCCAATATAATTTTAATATTTGTATGCAAGTGTCATGTTGATGTCTTCTAAAAAAATAATAAAGTGAAATAAGACTATTTTAAATTATACAATTATACTGTATTACCCCTCTTCTTGGCAATCTGATTCATCATGCAAGTGATTACATGTATAACACGTCTATGTTATACAACTTTGTGTTGTAGTTTAGAAACGTTTCTCTTTCCACCAGTCACGGTCACACAAAATAATTCTCATAAAAGGCAGAAACCACACTCACACAACATAGAAGATGAAATGCACTGTTGGAATTTCGAGAGTGTTGTCCACTGACTAATTTGGAATCATTTTATCACACCACTGTCTTTGCGCACGTATATACATCTGTCGCTTCAAGACAGACCATTCCAATATTATATTATGTTGGCAGGGTGTGTCCTACTTTTCCTAGTCATTTTTCCCAAGCATTTGGAACTGAAAAACTAATGAAAATGTTTATTTCTCCAACAATTTCCGAAGTATTAGTTTTGGCTATGAATGGTTTTAATTGGCTTGACGACTTGATAATTCTATTTTCTTAAGTAGCACGGTTACTAAGCAGTAATATCAGTGATAAGATTAATTCTGAATTCAAAGACTTTTACCAGTTTTAGCAAAAAGTATGCACCACTTTAGAACTTCTCAAAGCATATCTATGACAATGAGATGCAACTCAACACAATGAAAACATTCAGGCTTTCAGAATCAAATACAAGGCTTGTTTTACACTGCAAATCTGATTATGAAAATTGGACACAGTGTGACTCTGTCTTTTGTCCCCAAAACAGAAAATATACCTCTTGAAAATATACCCCTTCTTACACGGTCTCATCTGGAAAGAGCCAATCCAGTATCATTTTATGGGAAGCCTTTAAGTAATCAAATTCTAAAGGCTTGAAAAAAAGTTTGTTTGATAAATTAAATAGGTGGTTTAATTGTTATAAAATTGTTCAATTGAGAAATGTATATAGCATTTGGAACACAAATTTAGTCCACAAGGACCACTCTTCTCGTCATTGAAACATTTAATTTAATCAGTTGCCTGACCTTTAAATAACAGATTATTTGCAGAGACGTATAATAATAACTGGCACACAAAATAATACAAAAAAGATGAGAACATTACATTTTTTTTAAATTATTCATTTTTACTTCAAATCATTAGTGATCAACTTTTGATCTACAGTAGGTCACTATTTATTTGTTTTAACAAAAATACTATAAGGCAGTGTATTTCTGTAAGATAAATATTATTGATTAAAGGTGTTGGGTTTACAACAGCAGGCCTGACAGCCGTTTTATTCATGCATCTGCTTAGTTTACAGGACAAAAGTTGATCGCTGTTTCTTTAAGAGCAGAGGCTGCAGCTACTGTACACAGTTGCGTAGAAGCTAAACTCGTCGCTCAATGCGGAAGTGTAAGCAAAGCGAAAGTTACACACTGGTAAGGTAAAGCTTATTGAGTTTTGTCGTCTTTATTATAGTATCGGGACACTTCTGTACCGATATCCTGGGCCTGTTTGAATGAATGTTGATCGTGGTGGTGGGGCTGATTTTCAGTGGACAGCAGGTATACCTCTCGGTAGTTCAGGGGTGTCTGCAGCTTCAGCACCGAAAGTTATCTCTACAGGTCTTTGGCCTGAGCTGCAACCTGGGCCGCAGAGATCTGAAGTCTGTGAGCTTTATTAGTTACACTACAGTATAGATTTTGAAGCGCATTTCTACTTTGGCCTTAAAAAGACGTTTCAGAAAAGGTTGATTAGGGAATTGGTCTTGCAATTTTATTCGTAGTGTGTTTTGGAAGAAGGCATTACATATGCAGTGGTGGAGCCATTTAGAGGAGAATGGAGTAGAACATAAAACAATGCGAAAATACTTTGCTAGAACATAATGTGAAGGATTTACAAATAATTTGTATTCTACAGATTTTTTTAACGGTTCACAGCGGTGGAAAACAGCTGATCGCCTTTTCTGTCTTGTTTAATAAAGGGTGTATTGTGGTAGATTCTAAAGGTACGTCTTCTTGGTCCTAGTGCCTGTTAATATGTCTTTCTAGATGAACGTTATTTATTGAATTGAGAACTATGTGAAGTTGACCCCCCTATACATAGCACAAGCAAGAGAAACCCACCGCATTCGTTATTGTTCAGTTAGTGTCGGTTGTGGCATTGAAAGTAGCTTCCAAAATTGCTGCTTTTTCCAATATAAAAGCGCCTTATTTTCGGGTAGTCACGTGACTGTCTACAAGGAACTTTTTCTACCTTAAAATATTATGATATTATTATATATAATATTCTGAACAGTATAATAGCTAAGACGAAGCATAAAAATGGGAGAACAACCTGCAATATTGGTGTTACTATTACCAGGGGACGTTCATTCATATAGGTGCAGTCATTAAGAACACGTGGTTTTTCTTCCAACACCTCAAAAGTAACGCGCGTTGCGTTATGTAGTTCACTGGGTAAAGACGGCACTTGTGCAACCATAGATGTTAGTGAAACGATTGCTTTATTTAATTTGTTTCTCTGCTGTGCATGTTTAATATGGAATATTAATATTGAATTTTACAAATTAAAGGACGTTTTGGTAGCTGAAAATAAAAACAGAATATTTATATAATATACCGAATGTAATGCAAATTTACAATGCAACTCACAGCTGGCAACCCACTGAAGCTAAGTGAGTGTGAGCCTGGTCAGTACCTGGATGGGAGACCTCCTGGGAAAAAGGTTGCTGCTGGAAGAGGTGTTAGTGGGGCCAGCAGGGCCAGCAGGGGGCGCTCACCCTGCAGTCCATGTGGGTCCTAATGCCCCAGTATAGTGAAAGGGACACTATACTGTAAACAGGTGCTGTCCTTCGGATGAGACGTAAAACCGAGGTCCTGACTCTCTGTGGTCATTAAAAATCCCAGGGCTTCCTGGCCAAATTTCTCATTGGTCCTTACCAATCATGGCCTCCTAATAATTCTCCTCTTTGAATTGGCTACATTCATAGCTCTCCTCCCCACTGATAGCTGATGTGTGGTGAGCGTTCTGGCAAACTATGGCTGCCATCGCATCATCCAGGTGGATGCTGCACATTGGTGGTGGTGGAGGGGAGTCCCCATTACCTGTAAAGCGCTTTGAGTGGAGTGTCCAGAAAAGTGCTATATAAGTGTAAGCAATTATTATTAAAGCCATACACTCTCATACATAATATAAACCTAATGTACATACTGTACAGTAGATATACAGGAGATGTTTTTGTATTTAGTGGTAGCAGTATTCCACCATCTTCATAAACATTTTATGTATCAAAGTCTTTAACTTGGCAACGTACGAGGCTTATTTTGGAAAAGGTTTGACGTATATATACTTTTATATAAGAATATAAACGTATGAAGTTTATATACTTCATAAAAAGATATAATGTTTTATCCTTTTATAAGCGTATGTAATAAGAACACTTGCTGTTATTGTTGTAATACTGACTGAATACCACTTGATATTATATATAATATTAATATAGAATCATGTAACTAAAAACATTTGGCAACTAAAAAATCACTTGGATACATATTGACATTCATTTTTTAAAAACTTTTATTGTCCTTATGCTATAGTTAGTACTACAATTTATGAAGTTGTCAAATCTGTAAATAAAATTATTTTAAAATTTCTTTCTATCCTTCCAGGAAGTTCAGACCCTTCTGTCCAGCAAGATCAAATGCTGAACCTCTCCTACAATCATCCTTGATCTGTTGTCTTTCTCAGGAATGGCGTTATCCAGTAATATCCTGTCTGAAGAGCAATTACGCTGCTCTGTATGTTTGGATATATTTGATAAACCTGTAACCATTCCCTGTGGCCACAACTTCTGCATGGTGTGTATAGAAAGATCCTGGGAAAACCGTGTTTTGTGCCAATGTCCTTTGTGTAAGGAGATATTCAATAAGAAACCTGATCTCCGTGTGAACAGAAGCTTTGCGGAAATAACTGAACAGTTCAAGAGAACAAGACCTAGCAGCTCCGAGGAATTCTCTGTTAAACCAGGAGAAGTGCTCTGTGATTTCTGCACCACAGAAAGACTTAATGCAGTGAAATCCTGCTTGGTGTGTCTGGCCTCTTACTGCGATGAGCATATCAAACCTCATTATCAAGGAACAGCTTTCAGGAGACACAGACTGATTGACCCTGTGAACAATCTGGAAAATCGGATCTGCAAGAAACATGAGCGATGCCTGGAGCTGTTCTGCAAGACTGACCAGATGTGTATTTGTCAGTTATGTACAGAGACAGACCACAGGTCTCACAATACTGTCTCAGCAGAGACTGAATGGTTAGAGAAAAAGGTGAAATGCAGTCTTTAACGATGTCTTACTTTGTCTCAAACTGTAGATTTTATTGAATTTCAACTATGTATAGAAATTAAATTAACAGAATCATATGAATAATCATATTCATAGAATTATCTGTCATGGCTTCTCAGTTCCCACATCTCACTCAATCGTGCATTTATGAGATATTCTGGAATGATGCCTGAGGCAGTTTTCCACCTCCATGAACCATGCTTGAGTTGATTGACTTTTTTTGTGTGGAATTATGTTGCCGCCTCCCTTCTGCAGAATTCCTGACACTGGTTGACTCTATGCTACATTGCCTTTAGGATGGTTTGATTGTATGTGGTGGCGTAATGTTCTTTAAAGTGATTTCACAGAGGTTTATCCATTTGAATCCCCTACCTGTAGATTAAATTAGATAATTTTACAGGAAGATGAATAATAGTATATCCTTATATTGGCGTCGGTTTTCATTGAATAACCTCTAAAACGTTTGCCAGATTCAGTTAGCAGCACACTTCTGCAGTGATGTGAAGTATCTTTGTTCCCATGTTTCTCAACAGGCTCAGCTGGGAGAAACTGAAGTAAAAATACAGCAAATGATCCAGTACAGACGAAAAAAGATGGAAGAGATCAAAATATCCATGGAGCACAGCAAAGTAAGTCTTATTATGGGTTTTATCAAACTGGGTGGGTATGCTACTAAGTGCTGTTTTAGGGGTATTGCTGTCTTTCACACACATAAATTATCTCCCTGGATAAGTTAACTTATTTTTTGTGACTTTCCTTGGGTAAATCAAAGTTGTACTTTTCTCTGTTGTGTGTTTGATTGTGTTTACCTCCTGTCCCGCTAGAGCCGTGCATGCAGAGAGGTTGAGAACAGTTTTCAGGTCTTCAGTGACTTAATTCGCTCCATTGAGAGAAGCCAGGCTGAGCTCCTTGAACTGAGTGAGGAGAAGCAGAAAGCCGCAGAGAGGCTGGCTGAAAGTCTCATTAAGGAGCTGGAGGATGAAATCACTGAAATACAGAGGAGACATGCTGAGCTGGAGCAGCTCTCACATACTGAGGACTACATCGACTTTCTGCAGGTAAGCAGATTCTATTTATGTAAAAAAAGTCACAAAACCTGTGACCTGCCAAGAGAGTTTTGATGTCTACTCAAGCTGTAACTGTCTAGTGATAAAATAAGGGTTTTACTGCAGTA